TTAAGAAATGCCTTTACACTGACTTAATATTAATCAATAAGGATAGAAACACATAAGAATTTAAGATGGCAATATCTGAACTGAATGCAAATAACGTGATTATGGACCATTTATGAACCAGTGTGATCGATCACACTGCCCTAAATAAAGGTCTTTGGGCATCTTCCCCAAGCCAAGTTTCTCTTCTTCTAAGTTATCGTTGGTACAAGGTGTGATGACTCTCAGGCATCAATTAATATTAATTGGAAGCAGGCAAAGTATTAATTAAACATGACACTCTGATTATTTAAACCTTCTATTAAAGTTGATTATTCAGACCATGTTGATAGCCTGTTCTTTAAAAATGACTGATGATATCAAGCTTTACTGACTTCCACCAAGTCGACTATTTCCAACTCTTGAAGACAGAGGGAATAAATGAAGTGAGAAGAACACTGGAACAAGTCTAATAGACAAACCGACTAATCTCAGACCCCCAAGGTCAAAGTAAAGTGATTCATTTCTTGGCTTTCCTCAACACAAGACATGATTGATCAATCGAAGAGCAGGATTACAAACATTATACATCTCAATGATATGTTCTTTGCACTGTGTAACTTTGGGAACAATGATAGATTGCATAGTCTCCACACAAGTAATATCATAAGGCAAAACTCATTATATTTGCGAAGAAAAACACTTCAGTGTTTAAAAACAAAGGTACACATTAGCCTTCCTTACTACTACTAGGCATTTCATTTGATGGGGGGACGCTTTAAAATTCAGATATTCTTTGGGATTCTATCACCTTCATGGTTCAAACTTTGGACATTCTTGCTCCTCAGAATACTATTTTTACTCTTACGGAGTCAGCCACCATGCTATAGATAATTACAAAATGTTACAAAATTTCCACAATAATTACTGTCATTTTACGTAAGTATGTTAAGTGCCTCTTAAAGGATTGATACTTCCTTAGATCCAAAACTACTCTTTAGAGAAGAAAACACTCTAAAAAGACACTGGGAACATTTTTAGCATTATAAATGTAATCATAGAGCAGGAATTTTACCCCAATTTTTAGGATTAGTGCTTTACAAGCTTTAAAGAGAAAGTGAGACATAATACAAGAAAGAAGTCATGAGCTAGTTATTTTGATTCCATTAATTTCCCAGTTTACCTCTCACTTGTTTTAACACTTAGGGAACTGTACTATAAGTCATGCTCGTAACAGCACTTCCGAAATTACTCCCTAGAGTGACATTAGGTAATTTGAAAGATTTCCACTGAAATTAAATTATATGTAAAGGATAGTCAATTGTGATCATGAAAACTTATTCTACATTCTGTATATTTTAAATCACATTGTTATTTTCAGTGATCTAAATTAATGATCACTTTTTCTATTAGGTCACAATTTTAGCAAAATTTTATTGCTTAGGTGGAGGAGGATAGTAAAAGGCGTTGTATGTTCAGCCGATGATTCATTTCACCAGCTGCCACAAAGTTACACGTTGCAGCACACCTGGACACATGCACCCGTGACTGATTGGGAAACACATTTATCTTGGCATGTCACAAAGGAGATGGAATTATAATTATTCTCCCTTGTAACTAAAGGTATTTTGGAGCTGTATCTACCTACAAAATAATACAAATTACACATCTGGATGAGGTTCACATAACTTTACCATCTGTTCTCTATGTTCAACCATAAATATTTCCCAAATTGTTCCTTGTGTTTAAAAAATAAGATTTAGTTTTAAAAGACCTGGACTGGTTGTCAATGTTATAGGGAAATGCTGTTTTTAAAATTAAGACACTGAATAAGTTGCTTAAAACCCTGAATTTCTTTGGTTGATAAGTACACAGTACAAATTTAGTCTTTGCTTTCCATTAAGGGGATTTTGTGGATTTCTCACATTCTGATTTTGAGAAAACAAACATGTTACCTAAGTTTTACACAGAATCTTTTAGGCAAAAATTGGATACTTAAGTACCCTAGTATAGCAGAACAAAAAAGTACCAGAGGTTTCTTTCTTCAACTTAAGTCTTAGCAGTTACTAATTATCTTGACCTAAAATTCCATAGATTCTTATTTAATCTCTCCTGAGAAGTTCCTTAGTTTAAGACCTTAAAATATCAAATTAAAAGTATTTAGAAATATTTAATGACATTTGCAGAATCATGATTACCAGAAAATGAAAATATTTCGTCTGGCATACCCAGTGATAATAATCAGTCTGAATCAGTTTTGACAGTTACTTTTAAATTATTATGAAACTCTTATATCTTATGTTTTTCTTTAAAATACTAATTTTCTCTGAATATAAAAAATTAAATGAAATCTGTACACAAGAAGAGGAGAGATCATAAAACGCATATTCAATTTCAGCGCTGAAAGTTTATGGAACAGGCTTCAATATGGTGTGAAATAATTTTTCATATTTCTTTCAAAAATACTGAAGAAAGAGAATGGCTTAGGATATTGTAACCGAGGAAATACTCTAATATGAGTAACACTTTATGTTGTTCTTAAAATCAGAATATAATTACAGTAAAAACAACCAATTATGTAGAGATTAAAAAGTACAGTCACTAATATAGGCACTTTATACATATTAACTCATTACCACCACCCAATGAGGTAAGTGCTATAATTATTCTCACTTTTTTGAGATGAGGAAACTTCTTTGCAGCAAAAACAACAAAACACCAGATCAATACAAAACTGTTCTTTAGTAGTTGTACATATTGAATCATGGACATTATCAACATGTAAAACTAAGACCCTTAAATTAAGAAAGAAAGAGAGAGACAGAAAATCCTTGAATGGCATACTTTTCCAGTAGAATGAATCAGAAATTCAGATCAGGGTAATCATGGCATAAATAATTTCAAAATCTGCTTAATATACACAATAGGATTATATATACAGCAAATAAAACCAGACTTAAACTGTTAAACACCATTACAAGAGAATCTGAACTGTATCTATTCCACTGATACACCATATAACAAATGTCACACTATAGGGCCTATCCACAAACCTACAGCTTGCCTTTTTTTTTTCCTAAGAAATATTTCTTTTTTTTTTTAAAGATTTATTTATT